CAATGGTCCATAATTGAAAAATTAAGCATAACCATGCATTAAATGAAAGTTAAATCACAACATACATATTAGAAGAAAAATCTGACAACATTGTTTTCATTACACAAAATGCACAAAAAGTCGGTATGAAAACAACCAAATATGGTATGAACATCACACAATCATGCTAACAAGCTCGAATATGCAACAAGTATGAATTAAATCAACGTGTACAAGTATTTACCAACACGGGGCAGCCATGACATAACACGCAAAATCTCAACAAAAGTCTAATTAAAATGCACCGAAATCGTTATCGATATCAACCAATTGATAAATTAAACTCAACAATGTATTATTCAAGAATTAAACTCAAGTGCACATGAAAAAATGCATTTCGGACAGCCATGTATCATTTCATGAAATGCAAAAAAATGTCGATTTAAAATCAACTTCAATGTTTTACATGCTTTTAATTCTGGGACAACACTGTGTAACCACACAAAATAAGCCAGAAAATGATATCGAACCACCAAAACTCATCAACAATGCTCATTAAATGATCAATTATATACAAGTAATCATCAAATGAAAACAAAATTGACATGTACATGAGAAATTAATTCTCGGACAATACCGCATTAATTTGTAAAACGGCTTGAAAACTTGAATTTTAAACGGTAAAACTCAACATCGGTAGCTTAAAATAACCAAAAGCAAGTTATTTGTGCATGGAACAACAATTAAAGCCTCGATTGCAACATATTTGAATATTCCAAGAAGCATTATTCATGAGTCGATGAATATCCAAAAATTAGTTTACAAAATGAGTATCAACTAATGAATCATGGCCTAAAAGTCTCAAACAATTGTAATGAATTAAATTTGTATTAGTGTCACGCCTTTCCGATCACAAATGATGAAATTCAAGTGTTGACATAATTACTTGAATAAAAAATTTAATGTCGAAAAAATTGAATTACCATTCAATTCGACTCAAGAATTATGTCAACTCAAGAATTATGTCAACTCATAAATTCGACATTATTCCTCAACAAAACTTTCACAAATCAAACAATCCGCAATAATCCAACATCAACAAAATGTAACCAAATTAAATCTCAAGATTCTCATGAATTTACTGAAAATTCAACCAATTCCGGATTTCAACATAATCAACAATTCAAGATTCAATTTCAAGAAATCAACAATTCAATATCTCATGTAACTACACAAATTCAATTGAATTCTCAACAAATCAAACAATTCAAAAATTTCTCAATAAGCAATTATTCACCATAATCAATTATTCAATTGAATCAAGAAAAGTATGAAGAAGTTACCAAAATAAAGAACGAATCAGAAAATAGTGGTGATGGCTGCGAAATCAATGGACGTGGAAGAGATTGAGGCCGAAATTGCGAGCGAACTGAGGGAGAAGTGACTGGGCAGAAAATGCGCGGCCAAAAGGGGTATCGCAGCGGCGATCGCGGCTGGAAATAGGGTGGCGTTGCCAGCGGAAAGTGGTGGTGATCGACCGAAGTGAGGTGTCACGGTGGGTCATAGGGAGAGAGGGAACTTGAGATTTGAATCTTTCTTCTACTTTGTTCTTGATGAGAGAAGAGAGAGTAGAGAGAGTTTGTTGAATCTTTGAGAGTTAAATTTAGAAAATGATTTGTGTGTGTGTAAAATAGAGAGGAGAATTGAATGTATAGTCTTGAAGAATTGGGCCTTGGTTTGGGCCAAGAGAAAGCCCAATAAATTTCTTCACAAAACTGAATTTCAGTGTCAGCAAATGCAGTCGAACGCAAAATCCGCGAGCTCACTAATAATTAGTGTGAAATTTCGATGCAAGACCAACATCAAAATCGTAGATGATGAAATTTGTGACGTTTTGCCAAAAGAACGGACGTGATATAATAAAAATCGGGAAAATTATGAATTTTTGAATGGTGAGAAATCGAAGAGAAAAAAATCTACAACATAACTTATTTTACCGGTTAACTTAAGAAACGAAAAATAACCGAAGCCTTCGGAGTACTGTTCGAACTCGGGACCTGAAACAATGTTGTAGCTAACAAAATTTGTGATCTCATTCTTTGAGAACTATCCCAATAAGATAAAACTTGAGAGAGTTACGATTTTTACAATATCGAGAAACAGTGAATCAGAGCTCCAATTTTGCTGTAAAAATTCTTTGGTAATTTGTAATTTCATAGATCTTCGGCACAAAATCGGCCCTCGACCTGAACATACAAAACGTGTGGGACATCAATATGGATTTTAAACCTAAAGAACCAGTAAAAAAGGTTGAACTGGACGAAAGCTATGAATTTCTGAATGCCCGAAAAAAACAGTTCAACACACTTTTTAACTGTATTTTCCACTGTGCATTTCCAACGCATTCGCACATTCGGAGACTTTCTTCAAAGAATTAGCCATCGGCCTGAACCCATGAATTGGAGAAGATATCAAGATGGATTTTATGGCTGAAGAACCATTCAGAAACGTTGAGCCATATGAGAGTTACGAATTTTTGAACACCCGAGCCACAACTGACCAGCAAAACCTAAAACTCTTGTTATTTAAATCTTCAGCGGTCTTCCTCACAAAATTGGCCTTCGGTATGAACAGACAAAAAAAAAAGAACACCGAGACGGTTCTAATGTCCAAAGAACAACTAAAAAATCTTCTTCTGACCATAAGTTATAAATTTCTGAAACCCACCGTAACAAATAGACTTTTAATTAAAATTGTTTTGGACTGAGCGAAACACTTGATTTTCTCTGTCGTTAAGGCGCGTTGGAACACACGGGAACTTGGCATGATGATGCCTTGATCATCCACTGATTGAATAGCCTAGCGAAGGCTCTGAATGCATCGAACGACGAAATAAACATCTTCGACATCTTGATGAAGCTTGAGAGAAATACCCTGATCTGGTAACCACAAAACCAATGATATGTATGCATGCATGCATATGGTAATGAAATATATTCCAAATAGGTTTAAATGAAGAGGATAGATTTTGGGGTATAACACTACCAAAGAGCAAAAAAACAACAGACCAACCAACAATCCGATCTAAACATCTATAAAAATAAATCAGCCACTAAGGATAGAAAGCGAAAGGAAGGAAAACCACAATACTGCCTCATGATCTGGTTTAGGCTGAAGCCATAACACAACAAACTCAGAGAGAGAAAGCTAGAGGAAGGAAGTCCCAAACACCTGCCAAAACAAAGAGAGGGCAGTTGGCCACCCAAGACTCCCCTAAATACCAAGCCAAATGAACAGATTCCGCTTCAAGTCTAATAAAGAAACATCAAAACTTGGAGCTTGGACATTGTATTCTGATATTTGTGAGAGTCCAAAACAGGGGTGACTCTAAGGTCCCCGCATAGCATGGTATCACCCGAAAGACGCCCTTCTAGAACATGGGGGGTTACCCCTAAGGCAGGTGATGTGTACAATATCGTTATTCGAGAAAGAGTCATACCATAACTCTCTAAAAATATGTGATTAACAGTCTCCTTGCTGCCTCTAAGGGTTTCTTACACCTTAAGCCTAAGACCTCAAAATATATACTTCTCCCCTAACAGGAGAAAAAGGGATCAGATCTTAACTCATACATATTACTCCTTATAAATTCTTACCCTAAAACATCACGCTTATAAATATAACATTTCATCTCGTGTGAGCATGTCCTCTAAGACACCATATAGGCATCTCACTAAAATATTTAAGCCTCCAACCCTGGACATGTTTGATAGGCGCAACAATCCTTATGAACATTGTCGTATCCATCAACACATAAATGGCCATCATCGGAGCGCCTGACTCCCTGAAGTGCAAATTATTGTCTGGTACTTCCAGAGAAGCATCCTTGTGATGTTATATGGTTCTACCCGAGCTTCCATTGTCAGTTACATGGAGCTGGTAAAGAAACTTGTGCTTTATTTTTCCATCATCACCCACAAGAAGATGTCTACCACCACCCTATTCAATATACAACATGACCTTTCGGAGTCACTAAGAGATTACCTCTCTCGATTTAATGAAACCACCATCAGGGTTATTCCCCAAAACCAAGACATTTTTATTGGGGTGTTCCAAAATGGACTTAATGCGGGACACTTAACTGGGTATCTTACCTAGAAGCTGACACTTTCATTAGCAGAAATGGTCACAAGAGCAGAATGTTAAATAAAGGGTGAGGAGATAACACAGAGAATAAGGCGTGAGACGTCAAGGAGAGTGTTCCCAATGTTGAAGGTTCATGCCATTAGAGGAAGAGTAATTATATATCTCACATCAAAGACAAGACTATGTTCATGAGAATAGGCAAGACAACAGAAAAATTCACGCCTTTAAGCCCTCATCATGAACAAATCTTGTGTGAAGTTCTCCGCCTACACAACATTCACACGCCTCCTGTAACACCTCTTTAGATTAATATTTTCATTTTAATTATTTGAATATTTATATGTATGTTTTTTGATTTATTTAAATTATTCTATATTATTTGAGTTATTTTGTGGGATTTAAGAGTATTTTAGTACTTTAATAATTACTAAGAATATAGAGTTTGAGAGCGGAGAAATAAAATATAATTTATTTAAATTAGGAAAAATATCTTTTTTCGTCCTTTAACTTTACCTCAAAGTCCATTTTGGTCCCTGAACTTTGGTCACAAGGGTTGCATGGCACATTACCTTACCACTTAACCACTTTGCATTTTTTGATATAACTTACACATTAAATATAATTATTGTAATCTTAATTAAACCTAACTAATATCAAACCCAGAAATTCAAAACCCCAAAAACGCTCTAATGTTCATCATCTTCCCATAAATCCAAAAATCCAAAAATGCTTGAGAAATCAAATCAAATCAAAAGAACATTCTAACCCAAATCATCCACCGAAATACTTCAGATCCCTTTTTGTTCACTGCCTCTAAGTTCCTGGGCTTTTCAGATCGCGATACATCTTCTTTCTTCTAGGAAACCCTAGAGTCCATGTTTTTTTTTCATTTATCCATCATCAATCCATGGTGCGCTGTCAAAGTTGAATTTTCTGGTTCCATGTTCTTCTTCGTTCATCAATTGATTTCAGAGATACAAGTAATGTACGAAAAAACCAAAAGTTTGATGCTTTGGTTTTCTGGGTACTACTTTGACAAAAACCCATGTTTCTCCAATTTCGTATTTGTGATCAAAGCGTCCATTTTTGGAGGAAGTTATCAAGTTTGATTCTTTGAGTTTCTGGGTTTCCATGTAAGCCATATTTGTTTCCAATTTTGATATTCATCAGATTCAAATTGGCCCATTTTTTGTATTATTTCTAATTGTATAATATCTATGTAGTCCCTTATTCATGTACTTTCCTTGTTTTGAGTGTGGAATGAGTCATCTTCTACAGTTCGATGAGGGATAGTAAACTGAGGAAGAGAAAGTTTGATGAGTTATATCTTTGCATTCCTCTGAATATTTTTGCATTCAGAAGAATGTGATTAATGATAAATTCGAGCATATGTTGGTATAGTGTGCTACTTTTGTTCCTTTTTAAAGTTATTGTTCCATTAATATATGATATTTCTTATAAGTATCAACGAAAATATTATAATATATAACTCATTTGTAAAATATATAAATAAATTCAACATGGCCTAGTGGTACACATCTTTCCAAGTAACCAAAATGACATATGTTGGATTCCTGCTAAAGGAAGATTTTTGGGACTTTTATTTGGAATTTTAACAACCTTGGTAATGAATATGCCACGCGTGCTAAACTTAGACACGTCAGATGCCAAACATACACTGCTAAATGTCTATTTGCATCAAATAGACGAAAATGACTTATGTGCCACCTTTTTAATAGATAAGGGATCTACTCTGAGATAAAATTAAGGGACGAAAAGTGATATTTTTCTTTAAATTATTAGAAATAGTTATACATTTTTAATTATTTAGAGATAATTAGAATAATTAGAATGATTAGAAATAATTTATAGTATTATATCATATGAATTTTTATTAAATAATTAATTAAGTATAATTTTTATTTAATAATACAAAAATATATTATTTTATTTAGAAAATAGAATTTTATAAGATAAAATGATTATTGAGAGGGGTGTAGAGATCAATTGAAACTTTAGAGTTGCATATATTCTAACATGAGGAGTTGAGATAGTTTACGGGAAAAATTAGAAATTGGGAAAGTGATCGATTGTGATTTGGTAATTTGGAATAAGCAGATATTTGTAGCGATAGTGAGGAACGTGAAGATTATTTTCAAAAGCTTCAATTTCTAGATAATGGTGAGATTGCTTTACCAATAGGTCATTGTTAGGCGGACAAAATGGTGAGGGGTCCTTACCCTCACATTTGTGCAATATTTTTCCTCTATAATTTCTTCTGTGTAGTTTGTTTGGCCAAATGGAGTTTGCGCAAAACCCTTTTGATATCAATTGATAAATAGCTTAATTTATACGTGTTTTATTATGACATATGAGATTTGGGAGAATCCCACGTGGCCGCAAACAAATGATTTATTATTGATGATGCATATATATATATATATATATATATATATATATATATATATATATATATATATATATATATATATATATATATATATATATATATATATATATATATATATATATGAAATTGCTTCTAATATGTGTTGGACCCTTATGGGATTTTAATCAATGATTTTTTATTGTTTGGTATGTATGATTTGTTTAATGATATTATGCCCTTTTGGGGGTTTTATGATGATTTTAGGATTCTTATGAGTATCTGTATTATTGAGACGATTTTAGGTATGTGAGTTTTGTACGATTCCCTCTGATTTGATCAAGCAATTCAGAGACTTGAGCTTGGTGTGCGAGGTGACTACTAATAGTGTGAGATTGAGCATGCTGAAGCTGATCAATGGTTTTCTTAATGAGATCAGAGAGAGTCAGAAGCTGTATATGTCTTTGGTTGATCATTTGTCGTCAATTTACCAAAATTAATATGAAGATTTCAGACTTGATGAGAATAGAATCTTGAAGTTCTGGAATAGAGTTTGTGTGTCTGATGTAACGGAGCTTATGAGAATGGTTTTGGAGGAAAGTCATAGAAGAGGTTTGAGAATTCATCCCGGGGATACTAAAATGTATCAAGATCTTAATAAGATGTTTTGATGGCCAGGAATGAAGAGACATTACTACAAATAACGCATCTAGCATCGAATGCGAAATGAATTTTACCTCAGCATCTGAAGCGAGGTAAATAAGGTCGTCATGAAAAGTAAAGACTTATCACCTCAGTGTTTAAAACACCGAGAAGTGTTTTAATAGCGCATGGGTTCGATCCACACCGTCTGCATTTTTATTGTTTACAATAATAGCGCCTCATGTATCTCAGTTTATCAATAAATTCGAGGGGTAAATTGTTAGTATTTTTTTAAATTTAAACTGGTTACATTGTTTACACAGAAAATTAATAAAATAATTTATTTACAAAATACAATGTTTATTTAGAATATTAAAATGGTTACATTGTTTACATAGAATATCAATACAAAACTTAAGTTGTCCATGAAGATTATATGTTGGATCTTCAAATCCTTGATATCCTGAGAAGATCAAATGCTGAGAAACAATATGTTCTGGACTGGGCCCGACAGGCCCAAAAGCATTGCAAAGGCCCAGTCCAAATGGACTTACAAGGGCCACGCCGACCAAAGAGTACGACCGTGCCCGATGCGTAGTCGCTGGCTCGACAGTACACCTCCAGCTCGACATGCTGTGGTCCAACACCACATTCTGAGGTCCAGCTCGACGTTGCCTCGGGCACCCCAGCTAGGGCAGACTCAGTCCACTGTTCCCCCAACGATACTCCGAAAAGACCGCGTCTCCGTCCGCCCGCACTTCACGCAGAACATCCAGGAAGGGGACCACATGCGGGTCCCCACTACGCACGTAGAACCTGGCAGTTCCTCCATTGGGCCAAACCTGCCCGGCCCAATGAAGGAACCTTGGCCCAGCGCTGGGGGCTATAAATACCCTCTGCTTCCAGAGGGTCAGGTGTTCATCATTCTAACCTTACACTTGCTATTATCTGCTCGTACTCCTACTTACTTTAGCATCGGAGTGCCTTGCAGGTACCCCCCACCTCGTTCAAAAAAGATTTCTGCTCGGAGCCAGCCGTGACGATCCATTTCTGATCAGGTCAGATCAGTGGCGCCGTCTGTGGGAATCTAGCTTCCCCGTCTTACCAACAACTCAAAAGACCAAAGCTCAAAATTCAACTACCTGTCATGGCTGATACAACTCGCGACGAGCAGAACGTCCGTATCACCGACACCAATAACGACACGGCGGACAAGAACGGGCATCTCGACAACATAGTCAATCCCGGCAACACCGCTCCTGCAACCACCGTCCTCGGAACTTCCTCGCACAGGGACGGGGCCACCTCTTCATCCTCCCCGCTCCCACCACCACTCGAAGACGACCCGGTGGCTCTCGCTCATTACAGAGCTGCCCGGTTCCACGAGGTCCCAGTTCCCGCCGGGGCAGATGCCACGACTCAGGCACTATTCGCGTCCATTAATCAGACAAACTATCTCATCTTCGCCCAAGGAGAAAGACTAAGGGCACTTGAAGATGATCGACGACCCCCGAGGAGACACCGGAGGCCACATTCCCCACCTCCTCGGGTCACAGAGGTTTGACACCCTTCTCCCCCGCGGAGACACTACAGGGAAAACTCCAGGAGCCCCTCTCCCCAGCCAAAGCAGAGGCGGCCCTACTATGAGAGACAGCCCGCCATCCCTGCCGGAGAACCCAGTCGCGACCCGTCAAGGCACGACAAGAGGCACGCCGGTGACGGGCGTGTGACATTCAACCACCGAGCATCACGCTCGAGGGAGACTCAGCACGATCATCGTGCTAGACAATTCTACAGGTCCCCATCTCTGTCTCCAGAGAGGAGCGACGAGGATGACCCCCGCGGTCCCCTGTCGCAGGCCATCATGGATGCACCCATCCCCCCGGGCATGGAGAAGCCCCCACACCTGAAGGAGTATGACGGAGTCGCGGACCCGGTCGACCACATTGACGGGTTCGAGGCCATGCTCCATTATCATAACGTCGGGGGACCCATCAAGTGCCGCCTTTTCCCCACTACTCTCAGGAAGGCGGCCATGGACTGGTATAAAGGACTCGCCCCGGGCTCAATCACGTCCTGGCGAAATTTGAAGAACCAGTTCATCAGTTCCTTCACAGCATCTCGGCGCCATCCGAAGACCGAGGCGGCCCTCGAGGCCATCATCCAAAGACAGGATGAAACCTTGAGGGAGTTCATCAACCGCTTCAACCGAGAAGAAATACAGGTCCCCTGTGCGGACCATATGAAAAGATACTTGCTGGAGAGGGGTCTCCTCCCCGGCACTGAATTCAGAAAGGCTGTGGGTATCGAGCCACCTCCGACCTTTGATGCCCTCCTCGACAAGGCCCGAGCATACATGGAATACGAGGAGAGGGAAGCTGCCAACAGGGCCCGAGACTCCAGGGCTCAGGGTCCCAACAACAGCAGCAGCTCACGGCAAGAGCCTCCTCCCCGACGTACCGGGGAGAAAAGGAAAGAAGATCGACCCCGGGAATCCCGGGAACAAAGGGGCCCCTCGGACCGTTTCACCGAGTACACTCCGCTCACAGCTTCCCGCGAGCGCATTTTGGCGGAGTGTGCCAGTACAGATTTCAGAGACGGTGGCGTCAAGCGTCCCCGGCCTACTCCCTCCAAGCCAGGGGCGGATAAAAATAAATACTGTCAATACCATAGGAGTCATGGTCATTTGACAGAGGACTGCGTCCACCTCAAGGACGCCATCGAAACCCTCATCAAGGGAGGGAGGCTCGCGCAATACCGGCGAAGCGACGCTCCCCGTCGTGACGCCCATGAAACCAAGGAGCCCGAAGAAGACGCCCGACCATCAGACGAGTCGGTGCCTATCCAGACCGCCTTCTCGGTAACCAGGCCCGAGGACTTCGACATTCCCGAGCTCCTACAGGAGCCCCTGACAACACACAGCAGGTGGGAATACTTTCCCTCCGCCATGGTCATCAACGGGGCCGGGTTCAACGAACTCACCATCAATTCGGCTAAGAGGAAGTTGGACGAGTTGGTCGACATAGCTCCTCCGCAAACAGTAACGTTCGAAAGGGTGAAGGGCAGGTCAGAGCCCATCAC